CTCTGAAGAAACCTCATAGTTTAGGCGAATAACTTTCTTTGTCTGACAAAACTCAACTCAACTAAGGATTCTAGATTTTTTAGCTTCCTGACACAATTTTTTGTCAAGGAAAAGAATAAGTGCAGGATGTCTCCAAAATCTCTCTCCATGTCATGTATCTTATAATCCACTTTGATCAGAATACGGGAACTGTTTTCATATGAATTCGCTCTCAATATCATCTTGTGACGGCTGGCCTGATCACTTAGGATACTTTTATTCCGTGGATATGTGTGACATGAGGTAAGGGTTTTGTAAAATACCGAACACGACGTTTGGCCTAGGCGAAGATAAGCCGAACATGCTCGACCTTCTGCTCGGCCTCGCGGATGGTTGCCCGATGCAAAATCCTCTGAGTGCTCCCTCTCATAACCGAACGGGCGAACTTTTCCTTTCATTTACATAGTAGTGACAACCCGCGGAATGTTAATCCCGATGCTAAGAAACCATTTCGAACGTCAAGACGGGAACATCATAACATTCTTTTGCACGCAGTCGGTGCTCTCAATCTCTTGAGTAAACACAAAGCTGATTGCTACTATGTTTTGGACTTCTAAGTAAGTCAAATGTAAACAAACTGTTTGCATTCGATATACTGATCACAACACAGTACGAAACAATCCGTTTGGAAACAGAAATTGCTTTACGGGATAGAAACACATGCTCACTAAAATACTCTCAAGAGGAACACCACTAACTGTATAGCGCGCTCGCGTCTGTCTGTCTGCCTCTTTGTCGACAGATTGGACATTAAGTGGAGAAGCACCTAGGGAGGTTGGGTCAAAATTGGGATAGGTTGGGCATAGGGCTAGAACGACAGAGCACACGTGAGCTTAGCGAAACTCCGTCCATCCTGGGCGGGACATGTCCAGGCGTGCAAAACTTGGAGTGTGCAAAACTTCTTAATTTAGTTTAAAAATAGAAGGTTGTTCGGGAAGTAAATACGATTTTTGAGTGTTTCACAAAAGTTGTTGACTATTGAACGAACCTTAATCAATGGTTCACACCTCGTATTGTTCGATTATCTTTTGATTTCTTCCTGATATTTTCATAGCTCTTTTCTCACAGAACTTCTAATTTTTAGCCAAAAAACACCACGTAGAGATTTGATATCCCCAACTTCGGTGAAGGTTCTCTCATTGGAGGTGCTCTGCAACGACCGAAATAAAAGGCATTCGGATGGTACGATCAGTCTATGAACTGGATGCAGCACTAACGTTCACCCAGGCTTCGATAATTTTTGCGGAGTCGACAAAAACGGTCCTCACTTTGTTTGGAGCGCGAATCACTAGACACTCTGGCGTCAAGTGTGTTTTTTAGCCACGTTAGAAGTAAAAAAGTGAAATGAGCCGAAAATACTCCATCTGACACTTCATGTTTAGACTGATCCTACAATCACGAATGGGAACTGAATTTGTTCAGTTTTTTTTCTAACAGAAGCACAAATATACAATATATTAATCTATAAGTTAAAAAACGCTAAAACTTCTGAAAAGCTTCCAAAGTCTGAAAAGGTTGTTTTCAAAATCGGAATTATTTTCCGAACAACATAATAGCCCGGACGGCGGAAAAAAGATCAAAGATGAAGGATTCGTCAACAAATGAAATGAAGGAGGTAGGAGGAGCGTTCTCGCAGAGGGCATTTTCTACATAAGTCCATGCCTCAATTCAACGACGTGGCATGAGAATAAGAAAAAATAAACAGAGTGATCAAGGCCCTCTAAGTGTTGGGCATGCGCAAGCCAAGCGTTGCTCAGCCTACGGTGGGCGGGTGTGCGCTCTGAAGGGAGCTGCTTCTTAGATATTCATATAAAACTTTTTTTTCAAGAACGCTCCAAAACATGAGAAAAAGTGGTTAGAGGTTGAGGAAGCTATGCGGTCATTATTGAGGAATTATTAATTGATTATTATCAATTATTATAACTATGCGGGGTTTGCACCGAGGTAGCCAGGGCTGAGGTCAAAGATTCACAACTCCGTCCAAGAACGTTCTAGAATTCTGAAAAATGGGATCGATAACAAAAAAAAATATGGTCAAATCCCTAACTTAGGGGGGGGGGCTTGCACTGAGGTGGCCTGGCTAAAGAAGAAAAATTCACAACTCTGTTTAAATACGTTCGTAATGCTCCAAAATCGTTCTGTATTTCAAGTCGTTATAATTACTTGATGCCGTGGGAATCATCATCATTCCTTTCTATGTGTAGAGCGAATTCGCTTCTTTTTCTGTCAATCTGTACTAAGATTCGTTATTATCTGTAGAAGTTCTTGAAAGGTTCGGTCAAATTTGGGATCAGAGGGGCCTCGGCCAAGACCAGTAGACCACATATGAGCTCAGGAGAATCCTGCTCACGGGGGCGGAACAGACGCAGGAGTGGGTGGTGCAATGAAAAGCACCCCACAATTTCCATAACCCAATATTTCGTTTCAGAAAAGCCCAAAATTCATGGGGTAAGGTTAGGAATGGGTCAAAATTAGTCCCGCCCAAGCGAACCGAGCCGAGCAACGCTACAACTATGCATGGAAGTCGAATGCGTGGGTGAATCCTTTAGGCGGGACTGATCAACGCCCCAAGACTTTATCCTTTATAACGGATCTATGAGTGGTTCCCGCCTCAACTTTCGCCCGCACCCATCATCGTCGAGTCCTATTATACATCGTCATGGATACGTTTCGTGTATTGAGTGGCATTGCGACGGTTTGAAATCGTGTCCATCCAGGAAGACAAGAAATCCTCTGAGGAACACTTTTCACACAGCTCGTTTCCGTTCATTCTTTCTCTCCTCCCACTCTCGCTCGGTCTGTCTATTGGCAGCCGAAACGTCATTGTAAATGCAAACAACAGCAGCTGGTTTTGAAGTTTGTCGGTATTGCTCACGTAGGAAAGTCTTCATCGCACCCACGCGACAATCCATAAGATATCAAAGGCTGAGATTATTTGTTTAGGATGAGAGTATTGGCATCGGTCTACGGATGTTGCTTTACGGATCTCAAGGACGCATCGGTCGGTCTGTTCCCTTTCTAGACTTTCTAAGGTCCTCAAATAGCAAATCAGATTCTCTTCTCCTACATAAACCTAATAAGGTTGAAATGGGATGAGGAATTGTGAAGTACGACGGTGACGATAATTTTCTCTGGATTTGAGCTAAGCATATGAAGAATATTCGGATGTGAAAAGTTACTGGAATGAGTTCCGCTCAAAACAACAGCANCAACAACAACAAATCGTTAGGCAATCTCTCCCTCCTGTTTTATCGACCTCACCAATAATTAGAGCTCAAACACAAAAGGATAGGAAATGCTGTTTGATTGGACGAGACTCATAGCAGGACCTGTACCAAAACCAGCATTGCTTCTTCCCACCTGAGGATGATAACGAGAAACTTCGCAGTGCTTCCAACTGGTGAGGGGAGAGAAGAAGTAGGGGGAGGGGGGAGGCAAATCGGTGGTGCATTCTGGAGCAGGTCGTTACCTCTGATCATTTACCATTGTCCAGCTGAATTCAGCTAGATTATTGTGTGTGGTGTGTCCGATTTTATCTAGGGAACCTTATTTTCACTGACTTTTTTCCCGACCCTTTCCAGCAGTTACATACCCGTTTTCCTGCGGAGCTGGCCCTTGTTCTAGGTGCTGCTCACTGGAGTTTCTTACTCTTACTAGAATCCCTCGAGGATTCTTGTGGGTCCACCCCCGCCCTAAGATTCTTGATCGCTTGATGGGAATTTCGAAATGAGTTTAAGATTTTTCTGAGAACGGAACAAATTGCGCTAGCGAGCCGTCAGCTAGCATCTGCTATTGTTGTAACACGCTCAGGCACAGCAGCACTGCAGCAGAGAGCTGCTGAACACAAGCGGACGGCCGACCAGACGGCAGGCCAGCATCGATTGATATGGAATATTCGAGAAGAACCGTGGAACGAAAACAAGGAAAAACAACGGACCGACGAGTGCTTGGAATAAAAATAGACGTAAAACGAAGTGAAACGCAAAAGGCGAAAAAATCGATAAAAGGAAAAGAGAAATGAACAAATCGCTCGAATCGAAATCGCTCACCTTGTTCACTGGGATGACCATGAACGGTCCTCCGGCGCCCTTGGTGATGAACGCCACGAACTTCGGATTAACCGAACAGAACAGCGAATCCCATGTGATCTCAGTTACCTAAAACGGGAGCATGATAGATCTGAAGTCAGCAATAGGTAATGAATGACTTGGATCTTGGTTCTCAAAATATTTTCCTATTGTTTACTGTAAAAAAGGTTAATGGACGAGTTTCCACTCTGACTCCACCCACTCGAAGATCAGACATGCATTGCTCGTGCTTCAATGGTTTACAGTACACATGCCGAAATTTACTCTGACGAACGATTTGAGCCATCTCGCCAACGATCGATGACTACTATCGATTAACTGAAACGATCGATAAATATATGATTAAATAGCTGAGCTGAGGAAGAAGCAACAACAATCATCGACAGAGAGGCTGTGATATCGACGACTGGATATCCCGCACCTCGATGCTCCGCCCCTCAGGAGCCATCTCCCAACGTTACACGCGACGAACGCAAATGAAACCCCGATGGCGCGTGATGAAACTTTGGGGGCAGGCTCGATGATGCCACATGGGTTCTGGAGTGGGTAGGCAGGCGCCCCGCTCGAAGTGACGGACAAGCTTTCCGACAAGTGGCTCTCATTGCTGCTTCAGGGCTGTAGGGCGCTATGGCGGCTAGAACGGGATTCCTGTCGTAGAGGAACCTCATGAAGAAGGATCCTAAAAAGTTGAAGAGGAAGAGTGCTTGGGGTTGAGATTGAGATCACGCCTTTGAGTATGACCCAGCTTTCAATTTGACTGAGAGAGGCCGGATCCAACAGTGATGGGCTAACAGATGCTGAAGTTGCAGTTTGGAAATTGATAGGTGACTCCATGTCAGTAGAAGTAAGTGGCTTGTTTTGATAACGCAACAGCGGTGGGTAAGCGAAGCAGAAACCCGGACCACTGCGACACGTCCTCTTTTAAGGTGCAGGAGAACTATCGGGTCCGATGGTCTTAACTAACTTGGAGAAGCCATGCTTAATCGGTTTCAATATTTGCATGAACCAACCGCTTCAATCACAAATGAATATGCGAAGGAGGCCGAAGATGTGGCCCAACCCTCTCAGTCAAAATATAAAATTTACAAAGCTTACCTCCTACGATTTCAAAGAGTAGTCCGATTCACGGCATACTCCGAGAGAACGGCATCCTTCACTACCACCAGAGACATCTTGACTTCTAACCAATACTTTTCCAGTAGCGCACAAATCGCTCAAGCACTTAAACTTTTTTGTCTGTTGATCAAATATGAGGAAAGATCTCATATTCACAACAACTGATAGCTTGGAGCTCATCGCTGAACGTATCCCTGTATGTTTAAGTAAACGTACTGCTCGACAAAGTCGTGTTGGAGCAGTTTGACAGCGCTTTCTCGGTATTCGCACAGGATCCGCGTATGCCGCCCTCGCCACCTCGCGCTCGACCTGCATGTATTCTCATGACTTTGACTAATCTCTGCAAACTTGTGTTTGTCAGAAAAGAAGGCAGGTGTGGTAGGCATAACGGATTTGGAACATTATTCTTTACAAATGCGTCATGTAATGGCCGTAGGACAAAGCCAGTTACTGACCGAATCCGTCGGACTGATAAGATCGCCGCCAGCGCGATGGTCAGACTTCTTCACTGAAGCTCTAAAGGAAGGGATGTAACGCTCCGTGTTCCTCGCGCGAGGGCTGGATTGTACTGGCTTGTGACAAGGACGAATAAAGGATAAAAGGATAAAACTTCTGACGTCAATCAATCCGTCTGAGGGATGCGCCCGTCTGAGGGATATTGGTCTAGTCGGATATCGGTCTGGGATCCGAACCCGTGACCATGCGTGTGTGAGGTGCGCCACTTGCCACTACACCATCTCCGCCCGACAAAAACGAATAGAGACATTAATGGTACCCGGTCGAACAAGTCGATGATTAGCGGAACAAAAGGTGATACAGGTGGTTCTTTTACACGATTATAGGACTTTCTGGAGAAGAGCTCCATGGCTGCAATTGAGCTAATGAGGTCTTTATTGTGGTTGGAACTTTCGATGGGAAAAGTGGAAGTAATTTCTCCTTAAATCAACAGATCTTGAATGGGCTTTCGATGGTGTTACCGCGGCCTTGATGGGAAAAAGCGAAACAGTCACCCGAAATCGAAAAACTGCCAGAAGATTAGAGACTATGGACAGCGAAAAAACCGCAAGAAAAATGTTCCTCAAAGATTGCAGACCATATGCTTCNTTTTTAATCAAAACCTTCGCTTCAAGAGTTCTGACGATTCAGTTCCCAATGCCTTCATGAATAACAATCGGCGACTCCTTTTCTCGATTCTCATTCTTACTTTCATTGTAAAAACCTCTTCAGGGACGTGAAATTCGCTCAGCGAATTCCAGTATATTTCGGATTCTGAACGTCCTCATTGGGTGTTCGAAGCACTTTAAGCTGTTCGAGAAATCGTGAGAGCTCAAGAGACGTTTAGGATTTGTAATATAGACATTTAAATGTCAATCAATAGTGATACGAACGAAAGTCAAAGCAAAGTCATGCTGAGAGTTTGAAAGAATCACAAAGAAGTCATTGAATGTCGGAAAGCGGCCGCTGCAAAGGTTGATGAAATGCCTCCTCGGAGGCGTGAAGTTTCGTTCATGGTTCATTTCAGCTGTGAAGTGATACGGTAGTTTCATAGCTGCTCAACAGCCCCCTATTTCTCAATGACATTACGGCGATTCCCCAGAATTACCTAAAGATGACATGAAGCCTCTCGAGTGCTTATCCTCCTGACCACTTCGGCCAATATTGCAGTCTTGTTCTTTTTGAATTCAAACAATTGNAATCGAGTGACATGAATCCGCAAGGGTGGCGACTATTCTGGTGCCTTCAATGCGCGCGGTCGCGGCGCGGTGTGTTCACACTGGTGTGTTGGGCACTGTCTGCGACACCATCCCTACCGTAATCTATGCAGGCCTTCGGAAACAACTGCAAAACTTCTTAAGTGCCTAAATAGATTGCGTGTAGCGAGTGCACATAGATTTTCGGTCAGTGTTTAACAGATATTCTAGACTTTTTATGAAGCGTGGAGTGCCTGACCGCTCCTGTAGAACAACGTTTAGGTAACGGGTTGTGCCCGTAAAGGTGAAATTAGCCAGCTTCCCCGTCATTCTTTCCCAGTCCTACTCATGTCCAACACCTTTTAGAATGGGATTGAAGGTAATCCTACTATATGTAGGGAGCTAAGTGTGTCTGCTGGTATGTCGTTGTGTGTGTGTGGTCAGTGTGTGTGTTTGACCATAAATTCATAACTCCTGTTCCCATGGACCTGGAGTGAATATTTGGGTAGGAGTACAGGCGACAGGATGGGAACATCGTGGTATGTGGCAGGACTGGACTCCGCCCACAAATGTTCAAATGTTTGATCGTAAATTCATAACTCCAGTTCCCGTGGATCTAGAGCGTTCAAATTCGGTAAAGTAGAGAGTACAAGAACACTGGTCATTNCGTAAATTCATAACTCCAGTTCCCGTGGATCTAGAGCGTTCAAATTCGGTAAAGTAGAGAGTACAAGAACACTGGTCATAGGTGGCAGAACTAGTCTCCGCCTACTGGGGGGCGGGGCGTGCGTGAATTTTGTTAGTTTCGATCCGTTCAATAACCAATAATTCCTGTTCTCATGTGCCAGAGCGTCCAAATATGAAAGAGATACGTGGCGGGCCAATTCTAACTAATGTCAAGGGATGAGAGCCCGGAGTCAGCCGGGCGATCCGACTGGTACATGGATAATCAGGAAGGCAGTCGCTATCGCCATTTCTCTACCATTTAATTCTGTCTGTGAGATCTATTCGATATCTCGAATGGAACTTGACGATTGCGGCTCATCAGAAAGTAATCGATAGGCTGCTTGAAAAATTTGTGGACAAAAGATGTCTTTGCACATGCACTTCAGCTGGTTTACATTTGCAGTCGGAAGCATCTGTATAACTAGTTTCCTATTGAAAAAACGTTTCTACCAACTAGTTCACAAAGGCAGGTGTTTGTCGAGATGTGTGACTAATCCGATTGTTCAGTTATCGAACCTATTGACTGAAATGACATCCGAAATTGACTGCATCAATAAGTGGGGAAAAACTCTAAGAAAAAATGCAAAAACCTATCGGAGACACTCGAAGACGGAGTTTTTGTGCTACTCGTGCGGGAGGCCTATCTTTTGCCACACGGACACTATTCACTGGTTAGAAAGTTAGATTTCCAACTAAAGAATACAGGGGCATTGGCCGTCGGCGTCGCGTCTATCCGGAGCTGATGCACTGAGCGCTTGCGCTGGCCCATTGCCATGCAGAGTTTCCCATCCCATCGCCTACGTACAGCTACATCGTATCGAAAAGACGCTACCTTATGCGGATCTTTATAAGATTTGATTAGTTTGTTTGTAATGATGCATTTTATGTCCACGCGTTATTGTAAAGGTTTGGAGAAATCACGAAAATACCATTCTAGAAGGGAGCTCGAATTCGAATGTAGTTGGCTCAAGGCTGGGAGATCGTAGTGGGTGAGGGTCAAGAGATGCCACTGCGGCCGTCGCGTCAAAATTGGTAACCCCTGCATTGGTCAGAACTACTCTGACATTTTGCCAGCGATGGAAAGGATAATGTTTTTCCTTTGATAAAGCCGCTACCCTATTTTTCGGCCTATAATTCTTTGAATATAGTAGCTTCAGCAAGGGCGAGCAAATGCGAAGCATTACAGTATGTGGAAAAGAAAATAGAGGAAGAAATATACCGGTTGAGCAGAGATATCCTTCTGCATTATCCAAGTTTATAAAAAATACACAAGCACGTCAGACTCAATGATGCCCCACCCTCAGTGTCCTAGCTTTGGGTCGACGAGCGCTTGACCACTTCAGAACTATCCCAAATACAGTTGACGAGAATTTTTGAACAATACAGAAGTGACAGGCAATGCCAGGCGTAGAAGTTGTCAAGAGCGGGTAAGCTGCCCTTCAACCCGCGTTGCTCCTTTCCTATTCTACCTCGAGCGATAAGTCAAGCCAATCAAGCGATTGTCTTTTTTCCGAGCCCAAGGGCGCCTTTCCGAAGTGCTGACATTGTAGCGAGAATTGGAATAGGAGATGATTTGACAGCTTGCATACTATCTCGGTGAAAGACTATGGAGCGCAGACAAGAAACAAAGAACGTGTAGCACTTGAGCCTGTAACTCCGGGTATGGTGCGATTCACGCGTCCATAT